ATATGAATGTAAGTTAGAGACAACAGATCATATAAGTATTACACAGTAATTAAATTAAATATAATCATGCTTAAATGCAAAGATGGCCATCATAGGAAATGAAAAAAAATTAAAAAAAAACTTACCAAGATATCCAAATATATGCCCCAATAAGTCTATCCATTAAATAATCCAGTGAAATAACATCTCAGATGATCCTGAAAAAAATCATACAATTCAGTGATACACAATTAACCTCATTTTACAATGTAAGTAAAGCAATAATTTACAGACAAAAGGGACAGAAATGTAAAAGATACCATGTATTTTACCAAAATTTAGAGAACATTTTTCTGATTTAAATTTAATCATAGAATGACCCATCATAGAAATATTAAATACACTCTGAGTTACATGCAGGTTATACATGTATTGTACAAGTGTAAATCACATGAAATGAGGATAAATATAGTATTTACATTCAAAACAGAACTTTACATATAAATCATGGTTAAATGCAAAGATATGTCCGTCATAGGAAATGTAAACAAAACAAAGACAAACTTACCAGAATTATTCAATTATATGCCCAATTAAATAATCCAGTGAAACAACATCTTAGCTGATCCTGAAAAAAATGCATACAATATTCAGTGATACTCAATTTAACCTCATTTTACAAAGGAAGTAAAGCAACAATTGACAGACAAACAGGACAGAAAAACATGTTTAAATGTAATGCAAAATAATATCTCTTATATATGGATACCTATACTCTAATCAATCATTTTAAATGTCATTCGTAAAATGTATTTTTTAAGACAGATTTATTTAGGATCGACTTTTTAAATGATAACATGAATAGCACGCCATACTTTAACCACATGTCAAAACATTCTCTCAAATTACACAGAAATGGATTATTTAGCATAACTGACATTAAACATATAGGTGAGCAATAACATAATCACAATCATAAACAATGTGAAACAACTTTAAACGACCTACACTGTGGATTACAAGCCTTTTTCACTGGGGTAAAATCTTGCTGAAATTCGCTATGGCCGCCCGAAACCCCGAACCCGAATGTATAAAAGATGAAGTCATACAATAACACAAGTTTGGCTTTCCAGAAAGCCTTAAATGTCATCTCTTTGGCTCCATCTGTGTCAAAGAATAAACAGTGGAATGTAATATTTTTCTATTAAAGACAGAATATTTTTATTATTATTTTTAGGGGAATGGTAATTAGATATTGAACAGGAAAAGGGGTAGCTTTTCAAACTCCAAAATCGTATGTTGTGGATGGGAAGGAAACTTTTTAAGTTTTTGATTTTTTCTAAAAAAAAAAACATTTATTTGGAGAAGACATGACTATACTAAAAGAAAAATAATGGATAAGGGAGATGATTTGCAGTGAACATGCATTTACAACAGTGAAAGGTTAAAGGGCCGGGCTGGGACTCAGATTTGAAGAAAATATATTTTTTCTGAAATTTTCTAAATAATATCACGATTTCACACTGAACTATATATAAATCGTGTTTAGAAAACTCTTTTATATGGAAAATCCTAAAACTACTAATTTTTGGTCACGTTTGATTGAAACGTATTCTCATACTTTAGTATGTGAAAGGATTATAATCTTCATATATAGGCATGTATCTAACTTTGGAATAAATAAATTTTTTAGAAGAAAATTTGGATGTCAATTTAAAATACGTTAAACATTTAAAGGAAAAAATGAATTGGCCATTCATAACATACCTCGTACTATTCATATGAGATCAATGACAAAATAACTGATACTTTTCTGAGAATTTTGTTTTAAATCACATAATATTAATATAACTAAAAGAATTTTAGATGCATTTGTATTTGTTAATTTATTTAAAAACACATCAAGATAGTAACAACAGCTGACCGATTTCCACTTAGCGCAATACGATAGTAAAATTTAAAAGGTATCAGCTAAAATTAAGCATTCACGAATTATCTCTGGAAAAATCGCAATTTGCCAACCCTGAATTTACGACTGTTTTAGGAATATATTTTAATTTTGGCTCATTTCAATCAAATAGAAAACGTGATTTAATTGCTTTTTTTTGCTATTAATACAATTGAAAATTGTATAAAAATGATTGCAAGTTCTTTTATTATACGGTATATGATTATAAGGAAAACTGTAAACATTCAATAAAATACTCGATCATAATCTTTGTCAAATTTCTTCCAATACTCGTAGTTTTTTAAATATATTCTTGTCTCTTCTTATCCCCATGTACATGTATTTTTTTGTAGAAAATGGCAATAAATTATAGAATAACAACCATAAAAAAGTTTTCTACATCACAGTTTATAGTACTAAATGCATTAACTTTGATGTTGTTTTTCTGTTAATTCTTGGATCCACGCCTCAGCAGATCATTTGTGATTCAACGCGCTGACCTAGTTAGAATATTCCATCTGGTGCATCATAGATCATTTACGCAGTAGCCTACATGTAAACATGTAGATTATTAAATGAGTACATAAATTTGAACACCCATGCAAACAACCAGCAGGCGATATTGTGTGTCTGGCCCTCTGTGGATTCCTGTGCAGCCCTTTTTTTTTTCAATGTTTGGATCGCTCATTGTTTACTGCTCTATATTTAGAAAATCGCATCACCATCAAAGTGATCACTCAGCTGCTTTTTTGGATAGTTCTTGCCACGCACGAGAGTAATCATGCTGAGGCTTACCGATTTTTAATGGCTGCTTACACTGGGACCTCACGTCCGGAAATCAAACTTAATATGTCATCTCTCGTGAGAGATGACGATAACACTGATGTGGTATTACACATGATATTTTTTTTATTTTTATTTCTTAAAAACTATAAGGGGAGTTTACCAAAAAAAAAATTTATAAGAAAAAAAAAATTTAAAGTTATTTTAAAAAAAAGTTAAAAGATAAAAAATTTAAAGTAATTTTTAAAAAAAGTTTAAAAAATTTAAAAAGAAATTCTAAGTTTTTTTGAAAAAACTGACCTGGTGTTATAACTTGACAGACATAACACACACATGTTGTTTTTTTTTTTTGTATTGTGTGTTATTTGTTATTGTCTTTCAGTAAAAAAATTCATTTCAAAACTGGGTTAGGCTGGGCTAGACTAGGCCGCTCAGACTGTAAATGAAAAAGTGTGACGTGATAATCACATTGTATTTATACAGTGGATGACGTCACAATGCATAGGTAAGTTTATCGTACTTTTTGCACACGGCACTTTATAGAGGGTGCAAACAGGTATATAAGAGAAACACAGGTAAAATGTATATTTCTTTTGCACACGACCCTCAGTTTTTTGCACACGGGTCCTTTATAGATGATGGAACAGGTATATAAGAAAACGCAGGTAAAACGTATATTTTTGCACACGGCCCCTAAAATATTCCTATAGTATATAAACCAGAGCTAGGAGTACCCTGTGCTCATTATATCCATCATGAGTTTTGTGTGGAGAATTCTATATTGGATTGATGTAGAAAAATATATCTGTCATTACTGTGATCAGAATACGAGGAATGGTAAATCATTAACAGTGTATAACCCCTGCCCCGGATGGAATTTTAAAGTCTATCCGATTTGCGAGCATTGTGAAATGCCATTACCACACTGGTTTAAAGATGATGAGCCTTCCATGGAGACTTGTGGTTGTAGCTGGTGCCTGAAATATTTCATCCGGGAGAAAGGCATTGAGAATATACCACCTCCCCGATGGATGAAAATGACTAGGAACAGACCCTTGAAAGAATGTATGATGTGCTACGAGGAAAAGACTCAAGGGAAATGGAAATGCGGACAATGCAGGCAATATCCGTGTTGTGAAAAGTGTGTGAAGAAACTTTTTGAGACTTCCTACCAGAAATGTCCCTTATGCCGATACAGTGGAAATTAAAATCATTTTTTGTATTTTTCATTGTGAATAAAAATTGAATAAAAATCAAAATCTGTGTTCTTGTTTTCACTAAAACCAGTTCAAACCGGTTATAGGACTGTCTAGACTGTGAATGCGTGACGTCATAATCACATTCTTGAAATGTTTTTTGCACACGGCGCATTTTTACCTGTATAGTCAGCATAAAAACAAAAAACATAGTACTTACGTATAGTGTAAACAACTCCAGTATTTAAGGGGGAATAGGTTAGGGGATAGGGTTAGTTAGGGCTAGGGTTAGTTAGGGCTAGGGTTAGTTAGGGTTAGTTAAGGGGCTAGGGTTAGGGTTAGGGTTAGGGGGCTAGGGGTTAGGGTTAGTTAGGGTTAGGGGGTTAGGGTTAGGGTTAGGGGGTTAGGGTTAGGGTTAGGGGGTTAGGGTTAGGGTTAGTTAGGGCTAAGGGGGATAGGGATAGTTAGGGATAGTTAGGGTTAGTTAGGGCTAGGGGGTTAGGGTTAGTTAGGGTTAGGGGCTAGGGTTAGGGTTAGGGTTAGGGTTAGTTAGGGTTAGGGTTAGGGTTAGGGGGCTAGGGGGTTAGGGTTAGCACTGTACTCAGTTGACCCACTTATCCCCTCAGCCTAAGAACTGATCACATGATTTCTCTCAGCCAATCAGAATCTTCCGGGCTATCGGGACCCCTTATACTACTCTTACCTCCTGCTAATACGGGTTCACCATTGTCGTCGTATCTTTTTCTCCTTCGGAGGAAAAAACCTTGATCTGAGCAAGCAAAAAAAAGTTGGTTATTAAATTTTTTTTAAGTTTTCAGAATTTTAAAACTTTTTTATTTTATCCAATTACCTCTTCCATACGGCACCAACAGGACTGGACTTTCCAAGATGATACAAATGATGAGGAAACAGAGCGCTTTCTCTTTCAACATCTTACCGACAGGATTGCTGAATGATAAAATCACGGACGTGCTGTGACAGGTCTTAGCATCTGAGGCCAATACATGTATGTCTCATTGACAAGTCATAGAAAAAAATAATAATTTGTTTGGCAACAGCGGCGACAGATGTATTTTTGTACCTATTTAATTATATATTGATAATATTTCTTGACCCGTAAAATCATCATCTTATGGAACGTTACAGTGCTCGCAGCCATTGTTATGTATTGTTATCTATAGATTTTTTTTTTCTCAAGACGAAATTATTACAATAATATGTACATCAAAAATAAATGAATAATAAATAACGCAGCAAAGTTAAGGTCGCAAATAGAAATATCGGCGATTTTTTAAGATAAAAAAACACATACTGTATTAGGATTGGCGATTCTTTTTAGGAATTCACTTATATAAAAAAAACTGTAATGTAGTTTAAATCTACATGTTGGTGACATCTAGATTTTTTATTTAGACTTGTCATACGATGTCGACCTAATATGACTTTGGCAATTATACTTGCAGTTTAGAGGTCATCTATAAATTTTAATATTGCAAGGGCATAACCAAGTTAAAAATCTTAGTTTATTTTATAATCCTTTTCAACACTATATGTAGTTTGAGAAACGTGCTGCGAACCTATATAGATTACCTTTTTTAATTGGTAAAATTTAATTTGTTGGACGGCAGGTTGAATATTTTGTCGGTCAACTACATCAGATATAGCTATAATTTATTTATTTGCAAGATTTCAAGAGGTTCGCAGCACTTTTCAAATATCTTAATGCTTCTTGAGTTTATGTGTAAAATTTTGACAAGATACATTGAGGGTATGCCCTTGCAATAAATCGATTTATTAGGGCCCTTCCATTACTTTTTTAATGAATCTGCATACAAACACACGACAGTATCGCTTGTCTGGAGAATGCACGTACTGTTTATAAATAAAATACTAAAATAGACATCGCATCCAAGTTAACAGCTTTTTATTTAACTGCAAATAAAATTTTATTTCAGAACAAAAGATATTTTTCATTGTACAAAATGTGACTTGATCAGTCTCTCACTGTGTACAAATTGCGTCATTTTTGCGAGATGACGTCACATTGACAAGTGCATTTCGATCGATGTATCGTTTATATACTGTTGTGTGGGATTTAACAAATGACAAAACTGCATGTAATAGTAAGTTTGTACATGTATGTAGTATACAGCTATCCAGCTGTTTGAAATAGCAAATAATTTCATCTTATGGTATTTTGAAGACATTATATTATGTGTGACGTCATAGTAAACATTTCCCATACAAATTAGGCCCCGCCTCCTTACTGTAACCTTAACTGTGCTGCGAAATACTTTATCCAAAGTTAATTGAAGACAAATGCTACAAACAGCCCTAAAAGGACCTTGTCTTAGATCTATAGACAGTCGAAAAAAAGGAAAGGTACCCAAACATGCACAATTAACAAAGTCAAAAAAAAAAATACCAAGAAAACACACATAGACAGAAAACAAACAAGATGCCCATGGGCCACATCGCTCACCTGAGCACTGTCGCTAGGAAAAAGTAGAAATTGGTTTATCATTGAAAAGTTTAAATCCAAAAGTAGTCCCATGATCAATCATGGCTTTGCTTTTCTTGAGACGATGATTTTTAAAGAATTTTCCAAAATATGTCTATGTAAAACTTTGGTCGGCCATTGTGGCCCCGCCCTACCCCCAGGGGTCATGATTTGAACAAAATTGAATCTACACTACCTGAGGATGCTTCCATATTTATAGGATCAATTGTGGCTTTGCTATTTTTGAGAAGATTTTTAAAGAATTTTCCTATATATTTCTATGTAAAATTTTGGTCGGCCATTGTGGCCCCGTCCTACCCCCTGGGGTCTTTATTTGAACAAACTTGAATCTACACTACCTGAGGATGCTTCTATATAAATATGATCAGTTATGGCATTGCTATTCTTGAGAAGAAGAATTTTAAAGAATTTTTCTATATATTTCTATGTAAAACTTTGGGCGGCCATTTTGGCCCCACCCTACCCCTGGGGATCATGATTTGAACAAACTTGAATCTACACTACCTGAGGATGCTTCCATATTAATATGATCAATTATGCCTTTGCTATTCTTGAGAAGAAGATTTTTAAAGAAATTTCCTAAATATTTCTATGTAAAACTTTGGGCGGCCATTTTGGCCCCCGCCCTACCCCCGGGGGTCATGATTTTAACAAATTTGAATCTACACTACCTGAGGATGCTTCTGTATAAATATGATCAATTATGGCTTTGTTGTTCTTGAGAAGAAGATTTTTAAAGAATTTTCCTATATATTTCTATGTAAAATTTTGGTCGGCCATTGTGGCCCCGCACTACCCCCGGGGGTCATGATTTGAACAAACTTGAATCTACACTACCTGAGAATGTTTCCCCATAAGTTTCATCTTTCCTGGCACTGGTTCTTGAGAAGAAGATTTTTAAATCATGCCACCAAATTTTCATTAATTCCAAATTATTTCCCCTTAAATGAGGGCGTGGCCCTTCATTTGAACAAACTTGAATCCCTTCACCCAAGGAAGCTTTGTGGCAAGTTTGGTTGAAATTAGCCCAGCGGTTCTTGAGAAGAAGTCGAAAATGTGAAAAGTTTACAGACAGACAGACAGACGGACGCCTGACAAAATGTGATCAGGAAAGCTCACTTGAGCCTTCGGCTCAGGTGAGCTAAAAATGAAAGGTGTCAGGCACCACACAGATTGAAAAGTTTACTCAGTTCTTTGAAAAACAATCCTTTTTCAGAAAATGGGAAATCTTCAATGAAAATGTACAGTGAATATCAAGGAGCAGCCCAATTTAATTTGTGTTGTACTCGAAGAAACTCTATAATAAACTCTTAAATGCTAAAAACAAGTCGTGCATATGTGTGTACATGTAAATGGTAAAGGTTCGTTGGAATAATCTGCATGGACTCTGTATCGGACGATGAGATCGATGTCAGTGGATTTTCTGTAAAAATCTGATCAAGACCGAACTTTAAAAATAAGTACATGTAAGGTCATGGAAAGAGATTTTAATTTCGCTAGTTTCAAGGTTGTTTATTTTATGAAAGCATTATACATGTATATAAAATACATACCTAAGAAAAAAAAATGCCAAACTATATTATTTAAACGGGGGGTGGGGGATGGGGGTGGTAAAAAGAAATTGTCTGAACCAATTTTACCTCATTAAACAGTGGGTCATTTCTCCTAAAACTTTTATTTATTTATTTATTTATTTATTTATTTATTTATTTATTTATTTATTTATTTATTTATTTATTTATTTATTTATTTATTCATTTTTTTAATATTTATTTTTAATTGTTCCTTTTTGCTTGTGTTGTATTTTGTCACTTTAAGAAAATATATTATTTAATGAAAACCTATGGGATGAAATGAAGATTTTACAAAAACTTCAAGCTTTTCAAAGGCCGACTTTAAGTCCGTCTCCGGTTCTTCTCTTACAATGTTTGTAAAACAGGAAGTAAACAGTACCCGCCAAGAATACAAGTTTATACGGGAAAAATAGTACACACTTAGTTGTTATTTGCGGTGGGGAACTGTTCTAAGTAAACTTTAACATGCCTCGAGAAATTATCACCCTACAGCTTGGACAATGTGGAAATCAAAGTAAGCCAATTTCATTCAAAAGTTACATCTTAAATCTCGGAATGATCGTTTGGTGTTAACTCGAATTTCCTTTGAATTGGCAAAGTTTTAAAATCATGATTATGGTGTCAAATTTCTGCATGTTTCTTGATAGATATATTATGTCAGCATGTTGGAAAAGTTTGTCATCTTGCGAGAATGCTTTATCAATTAAGCTATGTAGAATAGCTTATTTGACCATGTAAAAAAAAAAGCATCAAATTGGATAGTACAATGTAAATAATGTTGTGTTGTTTTGTTTAATTTTAGTTGGAATGGAATTTTGGAAGCAGCTCTGTGCAGAACATGGAATTAGTCCTGGTAAGAGTATATACTATAAATCACTTTTTATTCGCAAGAACTTTATTTTGCTTAATAACGCGAATCTGCCAGCTCACGAAAATTGTATTCTTGCATATATTTGTTTTTTAAGGAATATTTAAAACAGAAACCACATTTTGCGAAAATATTGTCTTGCTAATAAATTCTGAATAACTTACTCACGAAAATAAGATGCCGTGAAATTATTGTGATCTACAGCAGGTCTGGCACAATCACTAGATTTAGCTACGTAGCTTGATTTGCCTACTTAGCTTTATTTACCTACCTGAGGTAGCTTTATTTAGCTTCCAAATCAATTTGTTTATATAAAAAAGCATTTTTTTCAGGATGTGCAGAAAATCTCATTTTGATGCAGTGATCATTTTCAACTTTGAACTCATCTGAAAAAAATTCATGTAAAAATCACAGTTCTCAAAGTTTTGGGGCTATGTATGACAGTTAGAACAGTTACTCTAATCAGGGCTCTCACACCACTTTTTGGGACTGGGGCCGGGGCCGTTCAAATTGGGAAAATTATCGTCATTTTGGGAAAAATGGATAACCAAAATTCATCTGAAAAAGTCCTCAAATTTTGCTTTTCTAGCATTTTGCCATTTTGCCCTGGTTTTGAATAAACAATAAAACAGAACAAACATGGGTACGTAGGCTATTTATGAAAGTACATTAGCCTTGTCATTACTAACTTTGAGTGTTGATATTGCGGTTTCATGTCTTTCTGAGTGACAGTCGCTAGTCACATAGTCCCGAATTTCCTCGATCACATGGACAACTTTGCTTACCAATACAGCGCGAAACTGAACATGCCGAAGTGTGGGTATGTTTCTAGGTGCAGCTTACTGATGTTTAAATGAAATGTCTATTTTTGAAACCAAAATGATGTTTTTTGTCGAAACTACATGACAAGATACTCTGCTCTCATAGTTTGTACACATTTTTGTAAAAACAATAATCTGGTTCCCCGAACCAGTTTACGAATGCATTTGGCGCAAACTAATAAAATAGTAGTACAGTTTCACTTTCATTTGCAAGTGTGTTTTGTTTGGGTTTCTTTTTTTTTTTTGCGATTAAGTTTCATGGACTTTTATTTTTTAATTAATTTTTTGCTATGGAAATTGGGAAATTTACACCTTTCTTTTGGGAAAAAAGGTACCTTTTTAGACGGAGGCTGTATGACAGCCTCCGTGTACATAGGGATTGTCTTGCCCATGGAATGTAAACAGGAAGGATTTCCCAAGCACCATCTATCGGTGGAATTGTTTTCATTACCTTGAGAATTCTATTTTTAGAGCGACTCTGCGTTACACCGACCGCTAGGATAGGCATAGTCTAAAACAAAGATCGCGTCACATACAAGTATAAACAAACAGTTCTACTTTTTCTAAAATAAACAGGATTTTTTCTAATATTTTTAAAATGACGTGTATATAAATTAGGGATGTCAACGAGTACCCGGTTAACCGGGTACTCGATGAACGTCCGAGTATCGAATACTAAAATCGGTACTCGGTTACTCGGATGTATATTATTGAATATTTCTAAGCTTATTTCTTAATGCATTAAACAATCTGTTTTAAAACGGAAAATACTCATTGCACTTGAACATACAGCAATTAGGGTTTCCTACTCCTCTGAATGACGGTTATCGCCTGTGGCAGTGTTTATACAGTAATTATCGTGACCAAGCACCTGTTATCTGGCTTTTCTCACCTTCGGCTGTCTTCTTAGTTCTACCCTTATTTTTTCATTTTCTTTAATAATTTGTTTTCACTGCACATTGTTTAAGGTCTTTTATGATTAAATAAATTAGATAATTTTGTCAATTCTCCGAGAAGCCGTATATTCTCGAGAAAAGAGACAGGTGATAGTAAAGGCGCGACTGTTGATATGGTTGTATTTGACTACATGCCAATACATGTACAAATAGTTGAAGGCAAAGGCTTTAAAAAACTGATGTCCATCGTTGCACCAAACTACAAAATACCGTCCCGTAATACTATAAACCACTTACGATTTTATTTCTTGTGTTTATCTGATAAATAAATTGAACTTAAAAATGTGTATTAAATTTCGTCGGGCACGAAGTTGTCATCATTGTTACAACAGAAATGCATTAATTTTGTAAACCTCCTATCAGAGCATGTGGTTTTATTTCTACAAGTGTTTACAAATTGGTTTACATTCATCAATTTACTTGTTCATATTTATTTACACTTTTACCGAGTACCCGGGTACTCGATCGGAAAAACGTCCGAGTAACCGAGTATTAAAAATTGACCGATTTGACATCCCTAATATAAATACATTTCCTACGAAATATGTAAAAAAAAATGTGATTTACTATTAATTTTTTATCAGACAGAATATTAGGAGATTTTGTTCCAACAGACGATGATAAAGCATGTTTTACAATATGCCGAGCCTTTTCCCGCCGGTTCTCACACCAAAACAAGAACGAGAAGAAATGAAGTGGCGGATCTAGAGGGAGTTGGGGGGGGGGGTTAACATCCGCGGAGAGTGATCGAGGAACCCCACTTATCAATTGCTTCTTTTATTAAAGTAAAAACTATCTCTAGTTACAGATAAGTTTAAACTTTAGTTTTATATTTAATTGTAAAAACTTCCACCAGAATTCGCCTTGTATCAAACTAAGTGTGGAGACGCAGATGTACCTGTATTATGTATTGAAGAAAATCCTGCTATGTCGCATGCAAATGTTTTATGTCGCAGGTATAAATATAAGACATTTTAATAATAGATCAAGCATTTCAGTTTTAATGGAATTTTTTGTGCTTGATTGTTGTTTGTAATCTCATTTTCATTCCTTTTCTAATTTCTTTTTGAAAGGACCGATAAATTGGTTTGCGGCCGATTTTTGATGCTTGCATCAATAGGTATCATGGAGTTTTTTAATCTGACAAGGATCGATGAATAAACAAATGCATAGTATTTTTATATGTAGGAATATTAACAGTCTAGTTTTGAATTGTTTATTTGATATTATGTATAATTTCAGGAAACACGTGAAAATAGATTTACACTTTCTACAAGTGGTTTGAGTGTTTGGGGTACCCTCACATTAGTTAAGAGAGAAACAAACGGCAACTCTGATATTGAGATCAAAATGCATTTGTAACGTTTGACCCTTGGGTACAACCCAAATCTTGGTTCATAGGATTTACATGATTTATCACATAATATCCTAATTAATAATTAAAATCATATCTTCTGAAATAAGTTGTCTTATTGTCATATCGTTGATCCTTATTTGCATTTGATACTTGTGTTTTACCTCTTTCACATCCCAAACTTTCATTATTTTTTATATACAAGATTACATGTATTTCTGATCATTGGTATTCATGTCATTTTTTTTTAACCTACATCATTGGTAAAGTGATTGTTTTAACTGAAAAGCAGAAATCATAGTTATATATTTATAACTTTTCTCTACGTAATTTGTAATCATGTCTCATTGTTAATGACTGTTTTAAACAGATAAACTGAAAAGGACAACCATTTCCACTGGTATACGAGTAAAGAAAGACATTTTTTGGGTTAATCTGTCATGTGATAAAATACTACATTTAATAATTCCAGAAATATTGGTTGTCAAATTTGTCAAGATACCGGTATATCTTTGTTATTGTAAGCAATACTCCAGTTCTCCAAAAACAATTTAAACTTGTGAAATAGCAAGTCTTATGAACTTGATTGTTCTGTTTACATAAAGTAAGAAAGTATATTTTATTCCACTCAAAAAATTGTGTTCTGGCACGAACATTTATTGCATGTTAATGAAGTTGTATTACTTAAAGAAAATTCTGTGTTGCTTTCAAGCTAGGTCACCCCATTTTGTATCACAAAGGTTTAAGACAAACTGTACTATATTATGTTGTTCATGTCCACTTACCTGGCTGCTTCTTTTTCCATGTTAGCTCATATCATAACATTATTACAATAAGGCCGAGAAATTTTGATTTTGGTAGCTGCTACATGTCATAATTATGTTAACAGTAGGTCTCTGTGACCTATAAATAAGATATCTTGAAATATGGAGACTCCTGACAGGCTGAGGCCTAGTGCTGAATCCAGAAATTCTGAAATAGGGGGACCAGTTTGAGGTCAGGGAAGGGGCCCACAGCCACAATTAAAACACTCATTTATCAAATATTGCGTATTTTTTGGACTCAAAAGCGAGGGGGCCAGGGGCCCCTTTTAATTCCGCCAGTGGGCTCATGACTAGAACATACTAAACCTACATTCATCAAACCGGGCCTGGGGGCATACAACTTAGACAAGCTCACTTTTGATCTCAGTCTCACTTTTCCACTATATATTCCTTAAGTGAGACTGGGATAAAAAGTTAGCCCGTCTAAGTTTTATGTCAACCAGGCCTAGTCAATTACTGTTTCTTACTTTGAAAGGTTTAATATTGAAAGTATCTCATCTAAATAACAGTGAACTTTAATCAAGGCGAAGTTTACATTACAAAGATGAAATTATAATATCCCAAAAACCTCATGAATATTGGAGTATCCTTTGAAAAAAATGTTGAATTGAAAAAAAACTACACATTATTTCTCATAATATTCTTTACAGCAATGTATGACATATATATTTCTTTTGTGTTCTCTCATACATGAAGCCTCCGTCTAACAGTACTTTCAGTACTTTGATTTGCATTGGGAACGGGGCCGAATATCGGCCCCAGATTTAGAGAATCGAGAGACCTGCTCTTTGAATAAAATGACAAAGAAGTCCAGTTCTGATTAACATGATAATGGGTCGGTAATTATTCAACACAATGTGAAGTAATCATAATCAGTCATGCCTCACCGCACCCAATACTGAGGACAGTTAACCAAACAATGGAATTCATAACAAAAGACAGTCACTGTCACTGAGGTTTTAAGTTTCTTCATATCTCAATGGGTTCGGCATGGCACAGTGGTTAGAGCATCTATTCAAGAGTCTTGGTGTAATGAGTTGATCCTTAGGCCTAAAAAAAAAATAAGTTTGTTTCCTGTAACCCGACCGACCCATTCAAATTACCCCCGGGTGGATTTTTTTTTTTCTGACAAATGCCAAAACTTCGTTTGATCAATCAGCTGACTCCATTTATTAAATTTAAAAAAATAGCTAGTAGCTTAATTTGAGACATAAAATATGTCAACTTAGTGTACATTTACCTTAAATATAAAGAGTAATCATAATTGTAACAACAGTTTCCCCCTACAACTTTCTGAAGTTCGTTTTCTGCCGCTTGGCAGCCATTTTGGATGCCATGTTGGGTGTCCACTGTAAATATAACACCTGGTATTTTCGGTCCGGGGATGTTCGGTGCGTCGATTTACCCAAAAGGACCCAAAAGGACCCAAAAGAACCCAAAAGGACCCAAAAGGAACCCAAAAGGACCCAAAAGGAAATTAAGAACAACCCAAAAAGACTTGAATAAAAGATAATAAATGGATATATAATAAACATTTTCATATTTTATTAAATCTTAAACTAGTATTTTGAGGGTAAAGTGTGTGTTAGGGGTGGGGGTGGGAGGTCCCCCACCACCCACCACCCCCACTCATCCCCGATAACAAATTCCTAGAACATGTAATAAAATAAAACTTTTTTCATTTATTAAATATCATATAGTAAGATATGGTAAAACAGAAAGAGAAGTAGATTAATACTTTGTTAATTTCAGCTAAAAGAAATCAAAGCATACCTGACCAGATTTAGTGTTTGATGTGCTTGAAAACTTGTATGTTATTGTTACAGTTGCAACAATACTTCGCCTTAGGGCTATGAACAATATAAGTATGTTTTGCCAACTTTTATGTAAAAATATAATATAATATTCGTGATTTACTTCAAATTATTAATTTTCAGTGTATTATGATAGATTAATTAAAGTCCTTTTGGGTTCCTTTTGGGTTCCTTCTGGGTTCCTTCTGGGTTCCTTTTGGGTCCTTTTGGGTTCTTTTGGGTCCTTTTGGGTCCTTTTGGGTAAATCGACGCACCCGGGGATGTTTGACCATTCATAAGCAAAAAAAAAAAAAAAAAAAAAAAAAATTTCCGACCTACCGACCCGACCCTTGATTTTTAGCTCTTCTGAGCCAAAGGCTCAAAGAGCTAATGCTATGGCCATTTGTGCGGTGTGCGTCGTGCGGTGTGCGTTAACTTTTTAGAATATGGGCCATAACTCAAGAACCCCTTGGCCAATCAGTGTCAAATTTGTCACAGGGTATCCTTGGCCCAAGGGCTACCATTTGTACTAAAATAAGGATTGGGACCCTAAAACAAGGGGAGATAATCAGGAAAACAAAACCAAAAGTACTGATTGCAAAAAAATCTTCTTCTCCAGAACCACCAGGCAGATTTTCACCAAACTTACATGCAATGATCAGGATATGTTGAAGATTAAAAATTGTTCAAGGCATGACCCTGGGGCAAAGGGCGTGGTCTCAAGGTCACTTCAAAGTTGACCTAAATTTACAATTAATGAAAATGTCTATATTTTGCTTACTATAAGGACTAGGATCATCAAATCTTGTAAGTAGATGCATCTTAGGACTTCACATCATGTTAACTCAAAAGTAGGTCACGGTGACCTACTTTTTTAATTTTGCGGGCATTTGTTTACAAATTGATTTGAAGGCATATTTAGGACACTTTAAGGCCTATGATCATCAAACTTTGTCAGTTGATGCATCTTGGGTCCTTGAACAACGTCAACTTAAAAGTAGGTCACCGTGACCTACTTTTTGAACTTTATGACTTATCCTTTTTAAAACATTTCATCCCATTATTTCAGACACTGAGAGGGTTAGAATCATCAAATCTTGTAAGTTGCTGCATCTTGGGACCTTAAAACATATTTAAGTAAAAGTAGGTCACTGTGACTTACTTTTTGAACTTTATGACTTATCCTTTTTAAAACATTTCATCCCATTATTTCAGACACTGAGAGGGTTAGAATCATCAAATCTTGTAAGTTGCTGCATCTTGGGACCTTAAAACATATTTAAGTAAAAGTAGGTCACTGTGACCTACTTTTAGAATTTTGCAGGCATTTGTTTTCAAATTGTTTAAAAGGCATATTTTGATTACCTTCAGACCAATGATCATCAAACTTGGTCAGCTGATGCATCTTGGGACTCTGAAAAATGTCGACCAAAATGTAGGTCACTGTGACCTACTTTCGACATTTTACGGCTATATTTCAGTATCTTAGGTTTTTATTGGCTTAGAATCATCAAACTTTGTGAGTTGATGCATCTTGGGTTTTCGGAGAGTGACGACCGAAAAATTAGGTCACGGTGACCTACTTTCAATATTTTATAGCTATATTTATGTATCTCCAGTACTTTTCAGCTTAGAATCATTAAACTTTGTCAGTTGATGCATCTTGGGTTTTCGGGGAATGTCGACCAAAAAGTAGGTCACGGTGACCTACTTTTGACATTAAATGGCTATATTTATGTATTTCTGGTACTTATCGGTTTAGAATCATCAAACTTTGTTAGTTTATGCCTCTTGGGTTTTCAGAGAATGTCGACCTAAAAGTAGGTCACAGTGACCTACTTTTGAATATCTCAGGTATTTATTGGCTTAGAATTATCAAACTTGGTTAGCAGATGCATCTGAGGCCTCTGATAAATGTCAACCAAAATGTAGGTCACGATGACCTACTTTTGACATTTAATAGCTATATTTAAGTATCTCCAGTACTTATCGGCTTAAAATCATCAAACTTTGTCAGTGTATGCATCTTGGGTTTTCGGAGAATGTTGACCAAAAAGTAGGTCACGATGACCTACTTTTGACATTTTATGGCTATATTTAAGTATCTCCGGTACTTATTGGCTTAGAATCATCAAACTTTGTTAGTTTATGCCTCTTGGGTTTTCAGAGAATGTCGACCAAAAAGTAGGTGACGGTGACATACTTTTGAATATCTCCGGTACTTATTGGCTTAGAATCATCAAACTTTGTCAGTTAATGTATCTTGGGTTTTCCAAGAATGTAGACCAAAAAGTAGGTCAAGGTGACCTACTTTTGAATATCTCAAATACATATTGGCTTAGAATCTTCAATCTTAGTTTGTCTATTATGTATCTTGAGTCCTCAGAAAACTTCAATCTTAAAGTTGGTCACCATGACCTACTCATGGTTTTTTTTTATAGCTTTATTGAAATATCCTAGTCCTAATTGGCTAAGAATCATCAAACTTTTTATCAGATGATGCAGCTTAGGTTTTAGGATACCTAGGGTTAGAGGATTCAAATACAAGTGATAGGTTGTACAATTTATCAGAAGAGCGATTCAAGGCCCTTGGGCCTCTTGTTTGGGAATGTTACAGGAAACAAACTTATTTTTTTTTTAAGCCTTACGTCATGGGTCCAATTCCCACTGTGGGACATGGAGACCAGTCCTTTGGATGAGACGGTATAAAAAGAGGTCCCGTGTTGCAATATGTGCTGGCACAAAAAAGATCCCTGATTGCTCAATTGCCGTAAATGTCAAGTATAGGACAACATTTTACACTCCCCACTGGCAAGTGGTGGCGTCTCCATTTCAGTAAAAAATTCTCGAGAAGGGACGTTTAACACCAAACAATAAATCAGATCTAGATGGAACAAGGCCAAAATGGGAAGATCAAATGAAAAATCTTTGAATGTGTATTCCAGAATATACATGGAACATTACTAATTTTGGTATCTTGAAGTATTGTGGAATTCAGAAATTAATGTATGTAGGTTTAGTTTTCTTGAAACTGAAAATATATACCATATCACATTCACAATATGATACTGAATCAGAATAGTTTAAGAAATACAGAAGGAACATTAGCAAAGAAGAAAACTATTCTCCATTTCATTTCTACAATAATTGGTTTGCATTTCTTTCTCAAAAAATATCAACATGCATGGCTTTACATGTTTTATTTCTGTTATTTGATTTTATTTTTCAGAGGGTATCTTAGAGGATTTTGCTACGGAGGGAACAGATAGAAAAGATGTGTTCTTTTATCAGGTTTGTGTTGACAGCAAACGTGGTAAATGTTTTTTAAAATCTTGTACAATGATAATTTTCTGTAATTTTACCATCTTAGCCGTGCATCACCTTGCATTTAAGGATTCAATCAATGAATGAATTTGGGAAATTCACTATTGGCATCTAAAAATCTAAATGCCCTACCTACAGATCCAATTATTTTCATCCTAAGATAGTAGAGTGCATCTAGGTCTCTTATTGTAACTCGGAACTACGAAAACCTCAAACAGAATGTGAGAGATGTTTTTTTTTTTTGGCAGGCTGATGATGAACATTATATTCCGAGAGCAGTTCTGCTCGATCTCGAGCCTCGTGTCATCAACACAATAATGAACTCACCCTATGCCAACCTGTACAACCCAGAGAATATCTACTTATCTAAGCATGGGGGTGGGGCAGGAAACAACTGGGCTTCTGGATATAGTCAGGTAAATCTTACATAACATATACAATTCAGAGAAGTTCTAACTATCTGTTTCAGGGGGATGGGGCAAGCAACATTTAAGCTTCTGGTTTTAGTCAGAGATCGCAAATAACTCAACATTTTTAAATAACCAAAAAATCCTTATATCTTTTCCTTGACAATTGCTTAGGTTATATGCAGTAAGGCATCTGATATTTTCCAATCTGTACTGATCATTGAGTTGTTGCATGTCTCATGAACTGAGCTGCATTTGACACTGAAAAAAATAAAAATTTTAGATAATTAATAATCATCAGATATTTTTCCTAAATAGGCCGAGAAGTTGTACGAGGAAATCTTTGACATCATAGACAGAGAGGCTGATGGAAGTGATAGCCTTGAGGTAAGGTCAAAGGTCAATTGAAGATGTAAACATTATGTATTAATTGAATTTTTGACAAGGCTTACTCATTAAACAGAAATTGTCAAATCTGAATATCTCAGATATGGCAAGTCTCAAAAATGTTGGCTATCAGGATGTTAATATTGCATACAATTTTCTAATTATTATCAATCTTGTCAACTTGATTCATTTCAAGACTTGATTCAATATATCAAGTTTATGTAAAAGCACCATACATTCTGTTACAGGGCTTTGTTCTGTGTCACTCTATTGCTGGAGGTACAGGTTCTGGGATGGGGTCCTACCTACTGGAAAGACTCAATGACAGGTTAGTGTTATTATTATATAGAGAAGGAGGGGGTGTCAATCTATTGCTGGAGGAATTTGTTCCCAGGTATAGGAGAGAATCAGTGAAAAGTAAGTGCTGTTGTTATATACAGGAGGAGGGGGTGTCAATCTTTCTCTGGAGGGAAAGGTTCTGGGATAAACTCCCAAGTAAAGGGTAGACTGAAAGGTAGTGCTGTTCTCATGAAGAAGAGAAAGGGAGTGTCACTCCTTTGCTGGTTAGAACAGTTCTGGGATGGGCTTCAACCTATTGGAGAGACTTAACCTATCGCTTGAGGGACAGTTTAGGGAATGGGTTCCAAAAGACTGAATGACAGATAAATGTTGTTGTTATAAAGAGAGAGAGGGTCAAAAAAGAGAGGGGTTTATAAATGAAACTTAGCATAAAATTGTATAATACTTATCTCAAAGGGTTGGAAACAAGGTGGGGGGGGGGGAGTAAAGACTTATGAACAGGATAGGGAGCAATATTTTAGTAGAGGTGAAAAGGAGGGGTGAATAAAGAGTAGAATTGTGAAGTTCTTATATCAATATTATAGATGTTTGATTAATTGTTTATTGTTTAACGCCCAGTCGGCAATACTTGAGCCATATTTCAGCAGATATGGAGTGGTAGAGTTTTGTTGCTAAAAGACGTGTGCAATTATATGAAAATTCTGACAAGGACTGATTTTGGTTTATGCTGGAAACTGAATCCTGATGGTATAAATCACCCAAAACCTTTTGTGTGATGGTACATCCGTAACCGAAAGTCTGAATGCTGACTCTGGTGACGTTCTCATAACTCGCATCAGCAAATTATTACACACTCCATATTAACCTCTTTACAATGTTTTGTTAAGAATCCATATTCAGATTCATCAATTCTAACCTCAGGTTCCCAAAGAAGTTAGTGCAGACGTACTCTGTGTTCCCTAACCTGGACGAAATGTCGGACGTGGTGGTCCAACCCTACAACTCACTACTCACTCTGAAGAGGCTCACTCAGAATGCTGACTGTGTGGTAAGTCAAACTCACTCAGAACGCACACTGTGTGGTAAGTCTACAACTCACTACTCACCCTAAAGAGGCTCACTCAGAATGCTGACTGTGTGGTAAGTCAAACTCACTCAGAATTCTGACTGTGTGGTAAGTCTACAACTCACTACTCACTCTGAAGAGGCTCACTCAGAATGCTGACTGTGTGGTAAGTCAAACTCACTCAGAACGCACACTGTGTGGTAAGTCTACAACTCACTACTCACTCTGAAGAGGCTCACTCAGAATGCTGACTGTGTGGTAAGTCAAACTCACTTAGAATGCTGACTGTGTGGAAAGTCTACAACTCACAACTCACTCTGAAGAGACTCACTCAGAACGCCGACTGTGTGGAAAGTCAAACTCACTCAGAATGCTGACTGTGTGGAAAGTCTACAACTCACAACTCACTCTGAAGAGACTCACTCAGAACGCCGACTGTGTGGAAAGTCAAACTCACTTAGAATGCTGACTGTGTGGTAAGTCTACAACTCACTCAAAACACGGACGGTGTGGCAAGTCTACAACTCACTCAGAACGCTGACTTTGTGGTAAGTCTACAACTCACACAGAATGCTGACTGTGTGGTTATGTCAAACTCACTCAGAAGGCTGACTGTGTGGTAAGTCAAACTCACTCAGAACGCTGACTGTGTGATAAGTCTAGAACTCACACAGAATGCTGACTGTGTGGTAAGTCTCATCTCACTACTCACCCTGAAGAAGCTCACTCAGAATGCCGACTGTGCTGTAAGTCAAACTCACTCAGAATGCTGACTGTGTGGTAAGTCTACAACTCACTACTCACCCTGAAGAAGCTCACTCAGAACGCCGACTGTGTGGTAAGTCAAACTCACTCAGAATGCTGACTGTGTGGTAAGTCTACAACTCACTCAGAATGCTGACTGTGTGGTAAGTCAAACTCACTCAGAATGCTGAATCTGTGGTAAGTCAAACTCACTCAGAACACTGACTGTGTGGTAAGTCTAACTCACTCAGAATGCTGACTGTGTGGTAAGTCAAACTCACTCAGAACACTGACTGTGTGGTAAGTCAAACTCGCTCAGAACGCTGACTGTGTGGTAAGTCAAACTCACTCAGAACGCTGACTGTGTGGTAAGTTAAACTCACTCAGAACGCGGATCTGTGTTTAGTGTACAAATCACTACCCCTAAAGAGACTCGCTCAGAACGCTGAATGTGTGGTATGTTGAACTGTCTCAGAATCTACTGACATCTTGAGAATCATCAAATGTTAGTAGGATACCAATATGACTGGATTTTATGGGTCTCCTTTACAATGAATAACATTTCCACAAATGATTATTTTCAGGTTGTATTAGATAACACAGCATTAAACAGAATAGCTGCTGACCGACTTCATATAGAGACTCCAAACTTCTCTCAGATAAACCAGCTGGTATGTAAATAAAGTTACAGGAAAAATAATGCTTACATTAAAAGAATCAGATAATATACTTTAAAGAGGCATACTGTTTGCCACAGAGATATTTCAAAGTGAATGATTGAAAAATTAATTCCACAGGTATCAACGGTCATGTCCACCTCAACGACGACACTGCGTTACCCTGGTTACATGAATAACGATTTGATTGGTCTAATTGCCTCATTAATCCCCACCCCTCGGCTCCACTATCTGATGACAGGGTACACACCCCTGGCTACAAACTCACAGGTTAGTTTGTTGGGGTATTGACAGTTGAATTGGGTTTTAACTCTGAACATTTTATTTTGTATCATATCAAAAAGTTAAGACAGTTACTACTTTACTGTCACAGGACATTACATGGTGGCTATAAAACCACATGTCCACTTTATTCAAACATACAAAAATATAAGATTTGCTCTTTTCTCTTTAACAATTTAATCAAATTGAATATCTCTATTGCACTGATAAAGTATGATTTTATAAAGTGTAAATTCAGAAAATTAAAAGTTATCTTAGACTTAATTTTTTGTGTATGTGTGTGTGTGTGGGGGGGAGGGGTTAAATTTCTCAAAATGCTTTTGTTTTATTAAATAGACATTTCTAATCCAATTTACATATTCAGATTGTAGAGAAAGCTCAATCTTACTCAGTTTTTCCTTCCAATTTTTCATGGTCTATAGAATTCCACAGGAATACTTGGGGGGAAATAAAAAGACAACAAAATGTACATGAAGACATATTTAATTTCCCACAGTACAAAATATTGCAATACAGAGGAATACCACACACCAAGGAGTTGTGTGCTTTGATTTGAACACTGACGTGCAATGATTAGCTATAATACATAAAATTACAAGAAATCACAATTCATCTTAAATTTTGATAATCCAAGTATTAAAAGAATACTATGGACAATAAGAGCACAGTGTACACAGGTTAGAAAAATCTGGTACTTGTTTCCATAGAATCAAAATTCAGTTCAATAGCTGTGTGCAGCGAAAATTTGTACCTGATACATATGTAAAGGTAAGATGGCAAAATTTTTATGTAAAATTACAAAAATATATTTCTATATTACATAATTGAGACCATTAATAACTGACAGAAACACAAAATAAAAGTACAGCCTGATCTAAACAAAAGACGGGTACGTACATGTATGTCTCAGATCTTTTGCACATTGTTTTCAATACATATACATTTCACACAGACAAGAACCTTTAGAATAAAAATAATGTCAACCCTGAAGTACATCATGGTCCATCTGAATCTAACTCTCTACATGTATCCAACTCAACAATTCCTTTCCCTTCAATACTGGTGAACAATCAATGACTTTTTGACAGTTTCCTGAATTACATGTGGAAGCTGTCTTCAAAATGTAATATATTGCTTGTTGAGGGCTCTACAGCAGTGCTACAGATATTATTGCTAGCTGAGGATCCTACAGATATTGCTTGGCCAGGGCTCGGAGGAACTTCCTCTTGCGCATCTGTACGGCCCTCTGTATAATATCCTCGGGGTTACTACTGTTCAGATCCAGCTGAGTCAGGGCTTTTAACTAAAAATACAATAAAACAATTCAAACCATTCATATTGGTAACAATCATAGAAAATATCAATTTGCTGCTTCTCATTAATAAATTACTAAAAGAATAAATTGCTCTAAAACATGTTCACATTTGAACACATATATATAAATGAATGTACATGTATATCAATATTTATATTGCGCATCTATAAGGCTATCTGTTATTGATTATTATCCATGTAAAAATGTTTGAAACAGATTAGTTTTATTACATGTATAAGTTTGACTTACTGCTGCCTGTTTCTTCTCCATTTCTCCACGTTTAGAATGTAAATCTGATAAACAACAGTTATTACCTTTATCCTGGACATTTAGAATAAAAAAATTAGCATTTCCAATCATGCGATCCCTACTTGTATTTCAAAAGATTGAATGTTTTTCTTTTTACATAAAAAGATACTACCATATAGGGCCTATAAGATGATATTACTAAATTGACATATATAATTTTACTAAAAAAAACCCAAATTTTCTCTACTTTTCTTAAATTTTTAGGATATAATAGTTATTTTCTCATGTTTTATATCTTTAAATTTTTCTCATTTTCACATATAGTAAAGTTGTCACATAAAGGTACAAAATGATACAAAAACAAAAAGTTTTGATCATTTACTAAGAGAGAAATAACACTTTTTACGGATTTTTGGCTCAAATCTGTACTTAGATTTTGAAGCATTTAAAACCAACATAGTTCTAGTTTGTTTGAAAAAACTCAATTATTTGTTGCCACCATTCTACCAAAAATATAGTTCCTGATAGTTTTCAGATGCAGTTTACCATTTCTATTTAAAAGGTACACAAAAGTTTACAGAGGATCAGAGAGAGGAAGTTGGCCCAGTTTATTCCCTGGGGACCAGCCAGTATCCAGGTGGCGCTGTCTCGGAAATCCCCATACATCCAAACGGCTCACAGGGTCAGCGGTCTAATGTTGGCCAACCACACCAGTATATCTACGGTAAGAATCACAAACTAGTATATCTACGGTAAGAATCACAAACTAGTATATCTACGGTAAGAATCACAAACTAGTATATCTACGGTAAGAATCACATGCCAGTATATCTACGGTAAGAATCACATGCCAGTATATCTACGGTAAGAGAGTAAGGCATGCCAGTATATCTACGGTTGGGAGTCATCACATGCCAGTATATCTACGGTAAGACCATAACGGCTAATATATTGGTCACAAACATCCCTTTTCACCAATCCTGCCTAGTCAGGGGTAAACATCAGTTTGTGACTGTATAAATGGTCAAAAATAACATTTGTAAGGACAGTTATTTGTCCAATTTATACACCTTGTTTAAAAAGTGTTACGTAAGGGAGAACATTTGAAAATATGAATATACATTTTGTATGTTTAATTGAATTTTGTGTCTTTTCCCACAAGATGAAGCAGGGATTAATTTAGGATTTTGGGGTAACTAACTTTTTCTGGAGAAATTGGAAAATTCAGCCGGGGTCTGGGAACTACTCGAGCGAGTATGAACGAAGGTGTGAAATATTCCAGTGATAATAACATTGTAATTAAGAGATATCAAAGCGTTCTTTTTTGGCTGATTGTTTTTTCAATAGGACCCTAGGTATTGAAGATTTTTAAACTGTAATTTGTTGAAAATAAAGACATTTCAAAGAGAAAACGCCATTCACGAGAATCGGAGACACTTTCTGACAGCAAAACGAAATTTCATCCCATTATTTGCTTAGGCATACATATTGTCTATTCAAACACAGATTAAGAGAAATGCTTTTTTAGTACAATTTAAAAAATGCAGCTGAATGGAGACAACCAGACTCATACATTAAACAGTTTTTAAACACCGTACTTTTTAGGAAGTTCAGCATTTAGCATAGTTTGTTGCCAAAATTCGAAATTCTTCGAAGAGTTTCTTTAACTGAATAATGAACCATAATACTTGTTATGCATTGGTGCACCTGTACATTGATTTGAAATTTATTATTAAAAAATGAACACCTTACATTGATTTTTTGGTTGATTTTTCATACTGTTTTTTGTACAGTTTTTTGATTAGCAATGTACAGTATTTTCACCATAATCCAGTATTTTGAAGACTGTTGTACAGTATTTGGGTCCAGAAATTATCACATGTATGATTAAAAGTGCATAAAGTAGCAAATTAAAACCATATATCTCATATACTGAAAAATTTTACTTTAAATTTTGGTCTTTATGAAGGAAAAAAATATTTGAGGTTTTTATTACCAGGTATCGTAAAGAGAAAATTAGATCTTCAGGTGAAATTTTCTCTAGGGGAAAAACACCGAATATTGATAGTAAATATGGCCTAGATTAATCCCAGGAATAATACATGTATCAGTGTCAACTGTTTTAAAAAAAAAAATATATAACAGTTTTAATAACATTTGATCTTTAGGTGTGTGTGTATTGTTCTATAGATTTCTTGTTTTTCTTTAGTTATTTGAGCGTACACTACAACAGTATGACAAGCTAAGAAAAAGAGAAGCCTTCATGGATCAGTTCAAAAAGGAAGCCATATTTAAGGACAACTTAGATGAGTTTGATAACTCAAGGGAGGTAATTCAGCAGCTGGTGGATGAATATCACGCAGCCACAAAGCCAGACTACCTCTCTTGGGGAACACAACAGGTGAATAGCTTCTTATAATTACCTCTATGGGTCAGAGTCTGTCAGTTTTCCCAAAAGTCTTGTCCAATACTCAAGTTTCGAGATTATCTCCCATGTTGCACTCTTCTGTTGAGGAGGAGAGTTTCGTTGCCTCATAAACAAAAGTAAATAAACATTCATT